ATTTTGGAAGCATGGGTTTGTGTGAATCTATTTTATTTTCTTTCTGAAGTATCTAGCCTTTTTAGCTCTGGAGCAGGTGTGTTATGAACTCACCTACTGTTAGCCTCTACTTCAATTGTTTTAATTAGTGTTCTAGATCTAAATGAGCTTCCAGTTGAAAGATTCTGGATATATTTTTTTTTACTGACAACTGATTTTCTAGCAAAAATGTCAAGCAAATAATTGCTGTTTCAGAATTTCATAAATCCGAATCAGTTAAAATAAAAACAAAAGAACTGGTCACTCATGTCCATGAAGCTTCTAACAACTAAGGAGCTATTGGCACATGAGATTCAAGCTGAACGATCTCTTTGTTCAATCCTAGTTTCTGGGAGCAACACTAAATGCAGCTCCCTTTGAATTTAAAACCTTGCTAAATTATTTAGCACTACATATCACAGACTCTGATTAAATTTTGCAGAGAGTAGTGAGATTGTTTCCCAGGTAGGTCATCACTCAGTTCAGTTTACCACTTAAAACTTCTTTCCTTCTCAGTGAAAATACAGCAAGGGCAATCCATCATTATCACTTTGTCCTTTAATTTTTCTGTCAGCCTTTGTCAAACTTGAAACAAGAGCCTTTACATTTTTATCAACTGCAGCCAATTGTTGCCTGAATTGTGCTCAGTCATTTCAGAGTATTAGTTGTGTTTTTACCAAACAAGTCAAATATTTTCAATAGGTCAGATCTATCTTTCACATAAGCCTGCTAAACCAAACAGAACCATTTCTCATTTCTGTGGAAATGGAGAGCAAAAATGCTTAGGGCCAAATCTGCAGTAAGAGTAATTTGGCCAGGCTCTCTACACTTAAATGGATGAATGACTTTTGCCTTCACAAGAAGAATGTGGTTTCAATTCAGGAAAGAAGGGGAAGCAAACGAAAAATCGTGGTTGGGCAGGACCTGGCAGTGTTTTGAATTGGTCTTGCACAGCTCCATTTTGCCACAAATATACAGACTACATCTGTGCCTCTCCTAAGAGCAGCCTCCAGAACAAGCCAAGAATTGCATTCTCCTTCTCTTACCCCCGGTATGCCTGCTACCAATCAGCAGGCTATCTGCTCTCTACCTTCAAATTGCCAGTGCTAATGTAACTTAATGTCATGCTAACATACCATGGGGACCCATGGAGAACCTTTCTCTCTAAAACCTTCAGCAGGCTGCCCTCTTCATTCACTGATTTGTGACATTACTGCAGGTCCTTAGTTAAAAGGAATTGCTTTGCTGAGTATTTGCGGCCCACCCCGAAACCCCTCTGTTCCACTACAGCCCACCCCTTCCACTGAAAATTCAGCTCAAGTACAATCTGTTAATTAACCAAAACAAGAAGGACTAGAGTCAGTAACCTCTCTAAATGTGGAGTTTCTATTTCCAAGAACCTTTAGGGAAACAATTTGTGATTGCTGGTATTCCACAGATAGCCAGGGTGACTAAATGAATACCAGGTTAATTACAATACTAAATTTTGACCGAATGCCTCTCTGTCAATAAACATTCATTTGAGAAGTGAGATTTAAAAATTAATGGTGACCATTATGTCTTCACTTCTAGGTCTCTGTGCATGGCTATCCTATTTTCTTTAGCTCTGCAGTAATAAAATCTAGCTATTTTCTGCCTCAAAAGATTCTTCAGTTAAATATTAGTGAAGCAGTAATATGGTGTATTGATTTGGATATGGATACTTGAATTAAAAAGTGTCACTCAGTGAGGTCTCTTGGTCATAATAATCCTTGGTATTCTGAGCAGAGTGTTGTTTTCATCAGAACAAAAGCACATTCTATTCAACTTGATTCAGAAAGGCCAGCAAATGGAATTGAGGTGTGTCAAAAGTAAAAATGACAACGAGATTCTACAGGGCTAGAAATAATCAAATAGTAAGTCTCTTTTCTGGCACATAAATGAAAAAGCACTTCAAAAAATACTGAACGTGGTTCCTATGACTTAAAATCATAGAATAGCCTGTATTGTTGATATCAATATAGAAAAAGGGGAAGATGAGTAAAGTGTTTGCAAGAATCTATAAATCTTTGAAGAACTGATGGGGAGCTTTGTGTCACAGACGCTCAATAAGTAGGGCTGGGAGGTCCCGTTGTGCAAGTCTTTTGAATGTGGTATTTCGGTGCTTTACAGAACATTAATCAACATCTAGATCTAGGCTATGCAAAATGGAGTTTAAGGATGTATGGGCCAAGAGTTCTAAAATATGTTGTCTGTAGGTAGAACTGTTGGTCTTTTTGTTGCTTAATAGCTATATCACCTTTACATGCACTCATTGTTAAAGAACAGATTCTGCTGTGCAAAGCCTAGAACCTACATGGGTATTTCATAGCTTGGGCAATGAAATTGTCTTCAGTTTGATTGCTGATTGCTAATGTGTCCTTCAGGTATTGAGAGCAAGTAATTACGATGCTGCCAGGAAAGCAGACCAATGGCAGTCATTTGCATCATGAATCTCACCATACTCCGTTAAAGAAAACAAGACTACTGCTTGTATTTAGGTTTCTTTTGTGAACATGTTTTACTTTGAGCATTCTGGCAAGCTGCTTTTTGATGTATGGCATCAGACTTTGCAACTTTGATCAGGACACCAAGTTCTGCAAAGATTTTCATTTTTCTTGATACGATTAGAAAAGATGAATCTATCCCATCTGAACTGAAAAACTGATATCTCCTAGTTCTTGTTAACCTTTCTCAGTTTCCTAAGTAGGTTTCACTTCAAATGAGAAACTTTAATGGAAATATTTCAGTCAGAAGAGAAACCAAAAAGCAGTGAACTCTTAAATTCACCACTGACTCATTTAAGTTAGTATGTGGCAAACTGGGTAGACAGTATGTTCATAGAATGAAAAAGCACTGTCATAAAACCATGGCTGTGTTTGTCAGTTACAGTTAACTTGCCATTGCATTATCTTAAGTAAATGACATATTTAGGATAGATAATTAAGGGGACCGTAAGTCACATTAATTAGTTTTTATGTACAAGACCAATTTTTACAACTTTTCTAATAAACAGGGGTTTGCTGTCCCTACCAAATAGGCATTTTACTCCATTTTATTTTGTTTTCACCAGATACTTACGTAAGAAGGAGTTTCCCTTTATGAGAACTAATTGTATAGAACAGTACATATGATGTATCTTTTAAATGTGTACATTTATTTCTAATGTTTGTTAAACTTGGTTGTGCTTAATTATCATGCCAGTTACAGTCAGGAACACACTCCAGGTTATGCCAGCTTTTTCCCCATGATTAATGTGGCTACATTGTTTTTTTTTTTTTTTTTTTCAAAAGTCTGTTTTACTTCAGTTGCCTTGGGAATATATAGTACTGCGGAACAGATGTAAAATACCATTGTACAGCAGATGAAAGAGGGATCTCATGCCGTTTTGTGATGGCTTCCGAAGTGGAAAATCCCATAAGTACAGATTCTAGAGAGTAATGGTGGCAGTTCTCAAAAGCAGAAGAATACAGAAAATTGTATGTGATTCACAGATGTTAACTGAGGAAATGACAAGGAGAGTTTTTAAAAGGCAAAATAATCTGTCATCCAGCATGAAAATAAGGCAAGCATGTTTAGTTGAAGTCTTAAGAGAGTAATTATGCGATGCTGAACTGATGGACCCTGTATGTCTTGTATTGGGCCTGGTACTGTAAAGCGCGGCTTTTGTTTCCATTGATTTTAGTCAGAATTGATGATACTCAGAGACCAATTGCATTTCTTTCTACAGTAAGGGAAGGTAGATCACGGGTTAGATTTTTATTCTTTTATTGCATTGAATAGCACCCTTCAGAAGTATTTTCACTGAAGTCAGTGTGGAATGGTTTACTTGCAATCAGGGCATCAAAAACTAGTTCTTTCCTTTTAAACTTGCCATATAAATGATCTGAAAAATGTCAGATTCTTTTCATTTCCTCACCAAAATGCTTTTCTCCGGTTCTCTGGGTTTTTTTGTTTGTTTGTGTGTTTGTTCTTTAAAACCCACAATCACCTTGTAAGCAAAATGTTACTGCTCTTTATTGCTTCTGGCAGGGCAATCAGAGAATTTTCTGTCCGCATATCTGCTTATGTTCTGCTCTGTACAGGGACATTTTACAATAGAGAGTGTTGGTTTGTGTACAACGAAGCTGCAGCTGCCTAAGCTTGGCATGCCTGTGCTTACTTGAGCAGGGTTTGAAGGCATTTGCAGAATGCTATAAGCAACCGTGCATCTTTTCTGACTTGGGTACTCAGATTTTGTAATATTAATGTAAATAGCCTTTCTGAATTTGGAGCTCCAAATTGTTTTGGAGGTGACTGAAATACTGTTGTGTGTATTAATAGTAGACATTGAGTATTAAGGATGATTGAAAGATGACTTTTCCTGCTAATTAGGGTAAAAATGTTGAAATATATTGTGCTCTGGATCTTAGCAGACAGCTGTATCTTAAGCAAATGTGTGGGAAGAAGAAAAGCAACCCGGAAAAAGCAGCTCTTATAGTTAGTAGCAATTTTCCCCCTTTTTCCTTCCATTGAGTCTGTCTGAAAGTGGGTGTTTTTAACATACAGCCATTTTTCGTTAACATATGTGTGTTTATTTTAGCATGATGGTATTTTTTTTTTCATCCTCCACCCTGACACAGCATGTTTCATCTGTATATGGTTTCTAGCATATGAGACATTTAAAATGGCTCAGTGAAGAAATGGATTCTTGTCACTTAAACATTCACTCTCCAACTCTGCGGAAACTTGGTCATTTTAACAGTGTTTTAAATTCTGAATGCTAGAAGATTGACTATAAAAAATGAGAGTGATATAATGTCAAGAATTTAAAGGTACACTATTGTACCTGTAATAATTTATGTTAGTCATGTTTTAATTTAATCATTTTCAACATACTTGTATTTACAAATTAAACCACTATTATGGTTTTCCTTTGTTTGCATGATATGATTTTATTTTATATTTTTTTTTCCACTCACCAGATGTTTTCAACACTTTGCTTCCCACTACTGTCATCCCCTCCCTTACCACTGCAACAGTCACAACCACTGTAGCCTTAACAGCCAGCAAAACCACATCGGCAACAGCCATCAGCACCAGAGGTACAGTATGCTTCTTTGTTATGGCCTGAAAAACACATTATAAATAGGAAATTATAGGGTTTATTTTTTTAAAAAGGATAGAATTTGCTGGAGAGAGAGGTCACACATTTTAGTTCAACCTGTAAATTTAATAGAATAATCCACGTCTTGGCATTTATTGCAGTTAAGAAACATTCTGTATGACCTTGAACGTTTTTATTGCTCTAGTGATGTGCATGTGAACTTTGACAGGATGCTTAAATTATTTGTATACATTTGCATTTAATTTTTTTAAAGTTAGTAAATTAACTTTAATGCAAAGTGCAAGCAAGCTATTTTTAAATAAACGTGACCTTTTAAGATTGGTTATTTTGGTACTAATGTTTAAAGCAAGATAAGTGTCTTGGATGTGAAATTACTCTGGATGTCATCCCGCTTGATAATAAAGAGGAATCATGATCTATCACCCTGTTAGTCTGTTAAAATTTAAGTTATTCCTAACTTAGGGTATCTTCATTGTGTTAGAACTACAGTATATGAGCCAAAGTATCTCCTTCCCCATCATTTTTTTTCTTGTTGTTTTTGATATTTATAGTTATGCTTTGTTTTATTATGAGCAAAATATAGAGCTTAATTTTACTGTAGTATTCAGTGATTGATCAGAAATTGTTCAGTGATAAAGATGTGTGCCAGTTTTGACAGATTGTCCTCTGGTTAAGGAGTAGATAATAATCTCCACAATGAGTGAAATGGGAGATGATTCCATAGTGAAGTCTGTTGGAGGCATAAATGTCATAAGAAGAGCAGAGGTAGTATTGAGTTATTACAGTGCAGTATTCACATGATGCGATATAATGATCCCAGGAAAGTTAAGACTGAGTTAAGACACCCTTTCTCTCTGGAAGCATTGTTATGAGTCAATTGTAGTGGCCTGACTAATTTCCAAGAATTAGAAAGATTTTCCTGAGCAAAAAACAACTCCATTGTATGAAGATTGTGATGGTAACTTAACACTGAGCTTCTTCCTTCATCGGTATTGGTGGCGTCTGTGTAATGATGAACTGATATGAAACCTGAACATAATTTTTTTAAGCCTTAATATTACATAGTGTGTGAAAAATGTTGGCTTAGGTGAAAAGGGAAAATATGTTGTAAGATCTTTGCCCTACAGAAAAGAAAAAAAAGAAAGGAGAGGACATAGAAAACAGCCCAGTGCTCAAAGGGCTGACTAGAAGCAAGTGAAACCGAATGACAAAAATGATAATGCCTTTAAAAAGAGTGTTTTGAGACAAGCAGCAGAAGCTTCCCGAAGGCTTGGTTACATGAAAGGTGAAATGTGAAGACTTTTCTGTTTTGGCATCTTCTGTCCTGAATTAATTGTTTTCTTCTTATGATTACATTGTAATGAAATACAAGGTCCCTGTTGTGGTTATGCAGTGCACAAATGGTATTAAGGCATCCAGTTACCTCTAAATGTAATGTAGGGCATCATTTTATATTACTCTGAAGTGTGTTTATTCTCATCATTTATGTGCCCATCATTAAGGGAAAAAGTCTGAAGAAGAAGGCTCTCTTATAACCTTCATCTCTAATACCCATTAGCCCGTTAGAATGTATTCAGTTTGCTACTACAATAACAAGGAGATATTGTTTTAGAGAAAATTAAAAAAAAAAAAAGGGTAATCCATGTAATGATCAATCGCTAAAGTACTCACCTTTCCAAGAAAGTGAATGAGAAGATGAGACTACTTCAGACTAAAGGAACTGGTAGATAGGGTCTCTTGGGCAGGCAATCTAAGGGGTAAAATAGGAAAGCTCTCTCTTGAAAATACTGTGTGGAAAGCAAAATAAAATGACAGTGTATCCTAAAGCAGAGGAGAAATAGGAAGTATGGAATAGACTAATGAGCTTGTCTACCTTACAATCTAGAAAAGACCCCAAAAAACAAACAAAAAAAAATCACAAGAACAGATAAGCACAAACCATAGTGAATATCAGTGTGAAAAAAAATACCATAGGAGGCCAAATATAGATCAGAAATGTTAAAATGCATGATTAATTACAACTAAAGAAGCATAGGAATGTGACAACGAAAGGGTATATCAATTCTTTAGATGAAAGATGAAAACAGAGCAATGTGATATTCCTATATATGAATCATAAGGGTAGGGTAGCTGGTATTTTAGCCAGCAACGGATGCCGTACTTGAAGTGCTGTTTCTAGTAGTTGGTATCATGCTGAAAGATGTCCACAAATCCTGAGAGGCCAAGGAACAACAACTGCATGAAGTTTAAAAACATAATCTATGAGGAAGCTGAGGGCACCTTGTGCAGAAAGTATGTAGGAAACATTTTAGACAGGATCGGATTTTCAGTAAAATCTCTTTCCAATCAAGGAAAATCTAATAATAATAACATGCATAGTATCCTTCAGCACTTCTACTTATTATTCAAGCAAGTATTTTGGTGAGGAAGAGGTACCTGCACACATAGTACTGAACCTCATCAGTTAATTCTGGGTCTGAGACCCAGGTCTGCCTTCTTTTGCCTGGAGTCTAATAAACAGTATGAAGAAAACTACAGATCCATTTGGAGGATAGCATTATATTTCACAAGCATCCTCCTTAGTCCAACTTTTCGTGTTCTCAGACAAGCGTATGCTTGCTTTTGTGCAGGTTATTAATTTTTTTCAGTATTCAAAGATAGGGGGAGTGCGGTATTGCACTTCCACCTAGACTGGAAGCAGCATTTCTCTTTATCTTATGTTATCTGAACTTGTTAGATAGATTAGATCCTTTAAAGAAAGAGAAGTTCATCCTACATCACAGAGTAGTAGAAATTAGTGGCTTTTAACTGCATTTCTAATAACTGAGATATCTTTGGACTGGATTTCCAATAACTAACATAATATTCTTGATGGATAGATTTCTTTAATTTTGTTCTAAAATTATGATTTGTTATTTCTGAACCACCAGTTTGTGTTCAGCTAAATTACTTCTACATTCTTTTACTCTAGGAAATTTTTTCACGGTCCACCTTGAAGATGTTTTACCCCACACCCAGTCACAGAAATTGCCTTTAAAGGAATATAATACAGATTATAAAGAGCTCAGAGAGTCTACAAATTTAAGACATTTTACATTACAATGATTGTACTTCATCATTACTAAAATGGAAAATGGAAAAAAAAGTCTGAACCTCATCAGTTAATTCTGGGTCTGCCTTCTTTTGCCTGGAGTTTAATAAACAGTATGAAGAAAACTACAGATCCATTTGGAGGATAGCATTATATTTCACAAACATCCTCCTTAGTCAAACTTTTCGTGTTCTCAGACAAGCGTATGCTTGCTTTTGTGCTCATCCTGCAGGAATTAATGATTCTTTTGCTGGTACATTACCTGCCAACTCAAAAAAACCTAAGCACAATTTGATGTCAGAGAAGAGTGGAGTCCTTTATGTATTTGTCAAGGGTGTCTTAAAGCCTAATAACCATGTTGAGGAATGTACAACAAAATGAGACTAAAATGCATGAGAAGAAACAATTCTGGAGGTCTAAGGAAAGAGTAATTATACACTGTATGAATAGTTTCCTTTCTAGCAGATTTATTTTATGTTATTTGTGAAAGCTGTACCCTTCTTCATACTGATGTTCCCTTTTGTGACTAGGAAGAGGCACAAGAGGAAAGTGAATTTGCCCCCAGCAGTAAAGTGAAGGATTCCTCCCTTGGGGAAATCCTTTGTTAGCAAAAAAGCTAACTTAGCTTATTCTGTGTCAGTCTTTCTTAGTCCTGTAGGCAAAGAGGGAGGGTGATTAGCAGTTTAGTAAGTACCACCTCAAGTAAGAACAACTCTTCATGTTTTTGGACTCACAAAGGGGAAAACTTCATGCTCTCTATTTTTAAACACACAGATGCGCATAGAACCTGCCCACAGGCTGGGTTTATATCAATCCTTCAATCCTTTTTTCTTTTTCCTTTTTTCTTTTTTTTTTTTTCCCCTGCAATTTTAAAAATTTGAATCCCTTTCCTGGCAAGAAAAAGAGAAGTCCAAGAGATTTTAAAGCTTCGTAACATTGATTTATTATTGAAGATTGAAGTCGCACAAACAAAAGCAAAAATAGGTGCAAAAGTAACATTGCTAGAGCAAGAACTTCCTAAATTCAAAAGATAGGAATCCATTATTTATTGGGTTTCAGTTCTGTTGCACGTATCTGCCTGACTCAGTCCTAGCTGACTCACTCGTATAATGGCTGTGCCAGAATGTTCGAAGCTTTATATAGCAATGCCTAAAAACATCTCCAAAAGTCATTGCATATAACAGAGGTATAAGGTTGCTCCCAGGCAGCTGCACTATGAGGTTCAAGAGTTTATTTAATAGTCAGAATATCCAAAAAGTCAATGGATATACACATCTATATAAATAAAAAATACTTTATTGCACTATGCTTTGATTGTTTTTTTGGTTCTCGTGTAAAAGAAAGATTTCTTAAATGAGATCCAGGAAAGTAAATTCAGAAGAACAGTTTACAGGGGATTAAGGAAGGGTCTGAGGCTATGATCATTTTGATAACTATTATACATTTCATTTAAATTCAATTGAATGTTTCTATTTAATATAATGAATTTCAACAATCTTAGCTATAAAATCACATTGCTTTCTTATTTTCACCCTTTTTATCCTGGAGTCTATTTGAGGAAAAAAAAAAAAAAAGAGAGAGACTGGAATACCTTTCTTTCTTTATAGTCAGTTAAGCTGTAAGAATTACTTGTGCAGTACTTCTGTTCTTATCAAAAGAATATTAATCATTCTTTCATATAACCTGATTAACGTAGTTTGGTACTTTGAGATATCGACAGAGAAGTAAACAACAAAGTAGGTAGAGAATGTATGAGGGACAAGGGAGATAAGGATAGACTTATATCTTAAGTATAACTTTGTATGCTTACTTGCATCCACCTGTGATAATAAATAAAATTACTGTTGTCTATTGTTAAAAGCAGTTTTGTATGACAGCTTGCTAAA